AAAAAAAAAAAAAAAAAAAAAAAAAAAAAAGAAAGTTTTTCGAACTCCATTAGAACATTAAAACATTAGAACATTAAAAACTATAGCAATAAAAGTATGCACTCCACACTTACAGTTGAAAGTCCTTCTGTTTCAAATCGTTATAAATAAAATCGTAGGAAGCCACTCCAAAATCATAGCAGTTTGGTTTATCTGGAGACGGTCCTGGAAGCTTCACTTGGCTGCCAGAACCAAAAGACTCAACGTTGAAACCGCGTTTTCTGTAAAGTCGTATATCTTCCACTCAGCAATTTCTGAGTAATGGATTTGGGCAAATAACTTTTAAAATTTAACCTTTGTTACGAACATCCACTGTAATGCGTAAAAGATCTATAATACTTGTGTGACATTACTATGCTTCACTGAAAAATGGAGAAAATTCAAAAATCAGTCCCAAGCTTACTGCAAAAAACTGTGGGCTTCCATACTTCGATTCATGTTGCTAGAACAGCTAACAGCAAAACGCAGTCTACCCGTACTCATCATTTTGGCCTAATCCTATAAATAAGTTCCGATACAGATGAACTGACTGACTCAGGCCACTATGTACAATAAAAGCCGACAACAAACAAAACAATGCGTAAATCGCTGCCAACCAAACATAGTAAATCCAATTCGCGGTATTAACTGAAGCATTATTAGAACTGTGGAAAATCCAACAACAGTGTAAAAAGTAGTACTTTAAAAAACGCCAATGTACCGAACTTAATTAATAAAAAATAAATGTACTAAAACTGGGAAGTTAAAATCACACAATTGTAAAGCCGGTACTGCAGAACATGTCTCGTGCTCTGCGGGACATGTCAGAATTACGAAACAAAATCAGTTCAGGAAATTCTGAAACACATCAGACTTGTCTAAAACGCACGGAAAATAAGCTGAGCAATTTCTAGATCTGCCACTAAACGAACGAACAAATGAACTCTGAAATAAAAGTACAGCAGACGCATCACTGAAGTAAAACTAACCTACCCGTAACTCGCCTTTTTAACACCTGAAGCATCTTTAGTGGTCCACCGAGCCGTCAAAAGGGATCAAAAAGTGTATTCATGAAAGTAGCTTTCTGGACTTAACAAATTATACAACGTCACAACGTTTGTCGTTAATCGAAAAAAGCACATCTACTCAAATATATGAAGAATGATTTTCTATTTAAAAACCTGACAACGCAGCATTACTGATAACTAAAATTAGCACATTTCAACAAAGAATATAATCTAATAAATGTCCCTGCACAAAAAAGGCATCCAATTATAGACAAAACTAATCCAGTTCTCTACTTAAAAAAAATAAGCAACGCACGATGTAGCAGCGGGACACGGTAACTTCTAAACCATTTATAAACTAAATACAAAAGATTTTTGGAGTAAGTCGTGGTTAAAACAAAATTAGGAACTCAGCACCACAAAAAATGTATTAATACAGGCTACAAATTAATCCTCATTTTCTACAAAAAAAAAAATCCTAAGACACGAGTTATAAGAACCCGATACGGTCTAAAGGTAGAACCGTATAACACTTCAAAACAACAGATATACGAGATCATTTATAGAAAAGAAGTATACAACATAAGCAAATAAAAATTAAAAAATTTAAAAAACTGTGAAATGAAGAAAAATGAAAACATAGTAAAAATTATCAACTGGACTCCTCAAAAAATAGTTTTGCCAGCAACGCGATGATAAGGACTGACTCCTTCGTTAATGCTTTAACTTCTCAGCAAGGCACAACCGACAAAACCTTCAGTTTAAGGCCTTCGTGGAATCACGTTGTTCCGACGCTCACCGACAAAAGTATTCCATTTTTCATTCTAAATTCTAAGAAGTTCATTTCTTCAATTCTAAAACGCTATTATTAGAAAATCCCTGGTTTAAGTATGATTATTTCAAATCTGTCGAGATAATAAAGATAAAATTACCCTCATCACTCGCTTCATTTGTACAGCCATTTCCCTAGCGGCCTGGTTGCAAAAATTTCTACTGCTATTGAACATCACCGCATTGGCAAACATTTTCAGCAGCTCGTGTTTCAGCTGTGCAGCAGTGCTTATTTCTTTTTTGTCTAATTTCTTTTTAATTTGTGACAAATCCGTAGGCCTAGATTAAGAATAAAACATAAAAAGGTTGAGTAGTAAATTAGCATCAACAACGAACTAACTTTTTTACTGCTTGAAGATATCCTTTCACCCGTACTGGTTTGGAAAAAAGATATGCATGACGATTATTAGTTATCATCCCCCAAACCTCAGAAATCCAAACCTTCTCCTCGATATCAGAGTAAAGATGGCACTAAAATGACTACTCCTTACGACATGCCGATAAAAGAAACTAAACGTTCTCTGACTTGTCCTAACAACTATTCGTAAAACTTTGAATATATATGAAAAATGATAAAATCACCTTATCTTTTACAACACTTGAAGCAAAGAAATGTAAAAAGACTTACAGACTGAAACTCGTAAAATGATTTAAGAAGTTCGCGGGGATGTGCAGCGTTAAATGAAACTGAAAAAGAATTTACACCGTAGGAGATGCATAACGTGGTACTGTATAGACTTCAGGTTTTTGACCAAAAACTTGAAAGTTTACAACAACATGCGATTAGCCAGAAGCGTTTGATACTGATCTCTGATTGATTGCAGCAGCAACAGATCTTTTAAAAAAATCTGCGCTTTTAACTATTGTAAGTGTATTGTTACACAATTTGCAAACTAAATATTACATTACCAACCACCAATAGACTAACTTCACCAAAGAATAAAAAACGTAGTATGAGAAACGCTCGTTACTCTCAAAAACCAACATATGCTGCAACAACGTCACCAAAAATGTCTCCTTAAAAACGTTAAATCTGACACCTTGAACGACAGAAAACCCGAATACCTGAGTTAACTGGAGGCTTTTGTACAAACGCTTTCGGCGATTTTGAAACAACCTTTGCACGCGTGAATGATTCCTGCGGTTCTTCTTTGATTCCAGATGTTGATTGGTATTCTTCGATTGCAGCGGAATAATCTAATGTTTGTTCCTGCTCTTCACTCATTTCCATCACTTCCTGCATCATTCCACTAGACGGTTTTGAGCTTTCTTCATCCCTTGCAGAAGAAGTCGAAGACAGTTGCGAAACTGCATCGTATAAGGAGTCTCTCGATGACAAACTCCGTAGTGTTCCATCACCATGACTCACGCCAACCTCGTGCTTGTCGAAATAAAGAGAATTTTTTAAAGTGTGGAGAAAACTACACGTTGAAGAAAAAGCTGCTTTTTTTACATCATGACCACTGTATTCATCTTCAGAAGCCAAAAGATCCTTTGCCTGTTCACTATAGTTTGAAAGAATGAGATTAAGAGGCAACTTTCGTACATTAATCTCTTCAGGCACTTTAAAGAGTTGAGGAATGTCAATGTGTTGCGGCTGCAAAAGAAATTATAAGGCTATCAGAGCAATGGTTTCAGCCTAACATATGCACGAAAATTACACAATAAACCGTACCGAAAAATGACTATGAATAAGTGAGAAGTAGTTGTTCAACAATGATTCAAATCTAGAAGGAACATTCTGCGCTCACAATAACGCATAACAAAGCCACAAACTAATAATCAGGGTTCTTTTGAAAAACAAAGGCAGTACTTACATTTTCACTGTGCAATCTTAACAAGAATCTAAGATTATTTTTCGCAACCTCTACTTGCTGAGGATCAACGCTTGGGGAAAGCTGAAAAGAGCATAAACTAAAGCCAAAACACAGCAAAAGAAAAACAACAAAAGAGAAATACGCAATTCGTGCTGCACCTTAAAATACAGTACAGTTACAATAAGAACCAAAACTGATTAAAGGCTCTCATTTCTTCCACACAACCTACAAAATCGTACTTTCTCATTCAAACGTTTGACTTCGTGGAGCAAACTCTTCACTTGTTCACCACTGAGTTCACCTCTCATCAAACTGTTGAAGATCCTGACACGATCCCGCAAAGCCGTAAGTGCTTCGTCCTTCACTTCCATCTCCCATTTGCCAGCCTAAATTTTTTTATCTAAACCGAAAAACCCTTACGAAAATTTACGAAATTCTTCGCACCCCAAAGAGAAATTGAACAACAGTACCAAAACCTAAATGTCATCACTCACAAAAAAACCAAGGAACCTCACTACGAAACTTAAAAGGCAATCAAACATAGTACGAAAATTTTTAATGAAACAAACTGTTCTCCTTGAACCGCAACTGATAAAAAGAAAATCTTATAAAGCGATGCAACGTACGTGACAAGCACAACTTAACAATTTTTACTGCGGACCTATCACCTGCAATTTTGCTAACTTCTCACCTGCTTTTATCAATACTCCTCCTAAAAAAAGATATCAAGTTAATTTGAACCTCCATTTTTCAAAGTTTAGTGAAATATAGCAGTGAAAGCTTCAAATCAAAGAAGTCGTTTTCCACAAGGCAGTAATTATCAAGAAGAAGCTGTACAAAGTAATTTACTCCTGAAAACCATTATTGTTCGAACCCACATAAAGATCGTACAAAAATTAAGAAGAAAAAATAATAAACGTAATAAGTTGCAAACAAACACTGATCACTGAAAGAACATTTTAACAAAAAGATAGTGAAATCTTATCAAAATATAAGGTAAAAATTCCTCAAATAAAAGTAGCACCAAAATAAAAAATAAATGTTTCAGCGAATTCTAGAACCACTGTGCTATTTCTTAGACAGTTTCATTGCTGATAAAACGTAGAAACGTCAAGCACTACTGCTGCTGCATTGAACAAGTCAGTACTCAAAAGATTAAGTGAACTCCTCCAAATAAGTCAAAGAGCTAGGTTGAATAATAATAAAAATAAAAGTAATAATGTTAGTAATAATAATAACAAAAATAAAGAAACAGTGACCAGAACTCACGAGGTAGAAACAAGCAGCCACCTTTTAAAAAAGTAAATCTTTTTTGAAGAAGGAAGGCTGGAGCAAAAAATTTCAAACAGCACTTCAGTACACAGAAAAAAATTATACAATACGTAAGAATAATGACTGGATAATAAGTTGTAAACGACTCCGAAAAAACTAAGAAGTCAGGACGTTTAACGCATAATTCAAGAAGGATATAAAGGTTATCAGCAAAAAAAAAGTGGAGAAAAAACATTGAACAACGTAGTATGAAACTATTATCAACCCCCACTAGATCAATTTTTAAAACTTAATAATAAAGCAATTAAGAACCACGAGATCTACTTCAGCTTACTGATGTTCTTTTTCAGTGAACAGACTTTATGCGCATTAGTGTCAACATTTCCCTTCTCTTCTGGAAGTTCTTTTAAACCGACAACTTTTTGCGTTGTTAATGGTGAAGTCGAATTCATTATTTTCCTTCGCTCCTGGAAAGTAAAAAGATGAAATAAGTTCAAAAACTTTCTTAATATGCAAGAAACCACCGTGTAAAACAGGAATACTCTTAACATTGTATCTCAGATTACTAAAAGTGGACCTCTTCAGCAACAAACGCAGCGCTTCTGCGGGTAACATGTGTGCCACCACGAACATAAAGAATGTTTTTCTCTAAATCCTGAAAATGAAAGAACAGTTCCACCCCGCTAATTCATCTTGTTATAGGAAGCTAGACAGGTAAATCATCTATTGAAGTAAGAAATTTCCTTTGAAGTCGAGGGATTAAAGACATGCAGTAAGCAAGCATACGCTTAAAATATACTTTTAAAGAATCTAAAGTATCCTTTGCCATTTCTTTCGCGTAAATGTTTACATCATGGCCCGTGCTATTAAACATTACAGCATTGGCAAACATTAGAAGAAGCCTCCGTTTAAATTCTGCCAAATCACGAACTTCACCAGATTCCACGTTCCTCTTTAAAGTGGTTAGATCCATTCTCCTAAAAATCTCTGTGAATATAGCCTCATTTCCAAGTTGAGCTTGCTAGTGAAAATTTTGAGAAAAGATAGTTTTGGAATAAGCACATATACCAAATCAAAAATCGTAATTCTGACGGCTTACTGATTTCAAACGCACAAAAATCTCTTCTTCTCTTACCCTAAGTCAAGCCACACTATTAAAATACAAAAGTAGCCATAATAAGATGAAGTAAAGCACGAAACCGTAGCGTTCAGTTTGTCCCAAACTAATCATTCAAAATTTATAATTCTCTAAATGTTTTACTCCAAAAATCAAAGTAAATTTAAGCTGGCTTACTCCGTGATTAAGCTTTAAGACCTTCATGCAATTTTTATAGTAATACACGTTAAAAAATTAAAAGACCTTTTGAAATGAAAAATATATTAATGGCTATCTTACCTTTTAACGGTTACTGAATATCCTTGAGCATCTCTTTCCGATACAGGATGCATAAAAATAGCCGCGTGTCGATGGCTTGAAACATTGCGCCATGCTGACATCAAAAATATTTTTTTTTCTGTACTCCCGTCATCTGCGTCTCTCTTCAAAAAAATCAAAGCTATATGTGGAAAAAACCTCTTACAAATTTAAATCCCTGACATAGAAGCTTAAAGAGTAAAGAACTAAAAAATGATCTGACGATAAAAAAATAAGTAATAAACCCTTTTGAAATGCTTCTTTTCCGCGGACTTCTTTGGAGACTGGGAATCTGACTTTGACCCTTGTAAACCACTACGTCGAGATGACCCTCGGCCTTGAAAACATTTAGATATAATTGTAGTTTGATAAAATCAAAAATATTTTTAGCAACTTGCATCGGCCTACCTCTTTTTGAGCTGATGGAAAGGGCGTCACGTGTAGAATCAAAAAATCGCTTGGAATCACTGTCATCAAATGTTTGGTGTTTTTTCAAAGCATCGTCGTCTTTAATCCTAGTCGTTCTATTATCAGACGGTTGCTTTTTCGGACTGCGATGCTTATCACGAATGTCTCCTAACGTCTTTTCTTCATCCGAGTCTGTGACCATGGTGTCTTTACGAATTTCCTTAAACCTCGCTTAAATAACGCCAAAAGCCACAAAAACAGAAACAAACTATTGGAAAAAATCGCCTTTTTAAAAGAAACTGCTAAAGCCAGACAAGCTACAGAAAAAAAACTACTTCCTGCGCCGTTTGAGCAGCACTACGTAATGAGCTTCGTCTATTACCGACTTTTGTAGCAGAACTCCGGATCTCACTAGCGCTAGATTTCTGAAATGAATAGCACAGGTATGGCAACTCAAAAATCTTTGAATCACTGACATTTTAAGTGTTACCCTGTCTTTTCGGGAACCATAAATGCTTGAAGGCTCATTCTTCAAATGCTTCTTCCCTCCTTCTTCATGCTGGTCCAAAGACTTTTTCGGTGAAGTTGTATCATGGGGTTCCGTAGAATCTTGAACAATTTCTAGCCCTATGCGACGACTGAAATTGAATTGTGCATGAAAATGCCTTAAAAATTACAGTCAAATGCTCAGCAAAAAAAGCAGATTTAATTGAAGCAAACCTTTGAAGGAAAAAAACTTAATCCATATAAGAAAAACTTATACGACTAACCGCTTTTTCGGAGTACTTCCTAATGAGTCTTCCTCTTGAGCGTCTAGCATACTATTTCCCTTCCTCTTTAAGACAACTGTTTTTGTTTCACCTTGCTCAGCAGTTGTCTCAGACCCTCTCAAACGATCAGACCTGCGCCTACAAAAAAATATCTCAACTTGTGAAAAAAAAGTAACGAAAAAAAAAAGAAAAGAAATATCTATTTCACATACCTAGAAATCATTTCTTCTGTATCTTCCAAAACCTTCCCATCAGTTAACCGCACGTCTTCGGCTTTGAGAGTATCAGGAACAGAGGACTCAATACCACTGCTAATATCTAACAACTGTTTTTTACCTGAATAAAAGAACAGCCAAGGTTTCTTTCTACCTACCTTAGAAAATTACCTTATGCTCAATTCACTTTGAACCTGAATATAACTGTTAACTGAAATGATGACCTAAAGAATCGCTAGAATAACAGGAAATGAACAAATATACTTTGGTCATTAGAACCGTTAGGTGTATCAGGAAGACCAGAGACCAATTCAGCCGTACCAGCAGATCCTCTTCTCGCTGTGCCCCTCTGACTTCTCTGTGGCCGTGACACACCACTCCCCATTTCATTTCCTACAGACTCCTTAAATACGACAGTATTATAATGGTTCCAATAAAGAAAAGCCTATGTAATACTGCTGAGAAAGAGCTTTGAGAAATAATAATAAAAGCAACTATATTACTAGTAGAACCAAGATTAGGAAAACACAGCAAGATAACAATTAAGAAATAAAAACTTATGAATTACTTTTCGCGAACTCCTCAATTGCCTTTTCCCAGTACCCTTATCCACTTTCGAATCGATTTCTGCAGTAAAAGTTTCTTCAACACCTTCAATCTTTGCAGGCTCTGAAACCTCTATATGCACGTCTTCTGCACTACCAGACAAAACACTTTTTTCAGCATGCAGTTCACATCCTTGGTCTTCAGCAAAATCTTTTACTGCGGTTTTAGATTCCTCAAGGCTACTATTAACAACAGAATCGTTAATCTCTACACCCGATGTGCCTGGCTCTATTTTGACCTCAGCCAACATCTGGCCTCCCTGTAAAAAACAACTTTTTGAAAGTATTAAAAGTATCAAAAAACTACAAGATGTCAAACTCGCCTCAGCTTTCAACGAAGATGCAGCACTATCCACTTCTGCTGACCGCTCATCAGTCACCACTAAAACAATTCTAATAAAGAAAAGAAAGAATTTCTAATCCTGGGGCAGCAGTTTCTTATTTACTTAAGGAAATATTCTTGTCATCCTCCTCTAGAAAAACTTCCATATAAATCAGCAAGTCAATGAAGGAGAGATCGACGTGTACAGAATTTAATTTTTTTGCACAACCAGAAACAAATACATTTAGTTTGTTGCGCAGAGGCTGTTGGACTCAATCTTTGTTGCGCTTGACTCAGTGTCTTTTGAGGGCTCTGTACAGCTGAGGCTTTCTGTGGACTTTGTAATCCAGATTTCGCACTTAACATTGGAAAAGCAGATGACGTTTTTTCTGATGCCTCTGAATTCAAATCTTCCTCCTCCGCATCGTATAGTTGCGGCACCACCAATCGCAAACAACCGTATACGTCTGGCTAGAAGCGACTGATTAAGACTTAAAAATACTAGAATTATTTAAGAATAATACGAAATGAAAAAAAAACCGGTGCCTAAAACAATTTCTCTTCTTCTTATCTAGAAAGCAAATTCACAATAATTTTAGATACAATCTCTCCTTACCTTCGTCACGTGAAGGTTATCCAACTCTTCTATCTTTGGCAAGACACGTGCAATTCCCTTCTCAATGAGCCTCTGATCTCGCTGAAAAACATAGAATTAAGCAGAATTCTAGCATTGGTTATAACCATCCCCAAAAGATACCAAGAAAGATATTTCCAAAAAAGTCACATTACAAAACACTTTTAGTCGACAATCAACTACTTTGCTATCTTCTTTTCTCGCTTCTTCCAACAGTTCTTGTACTCTTTCTTCAGAAATATCGCACTTGTCATCAAAGAGCTTATTGAAAAGCGACAATTTCTCTCGGAATCTTACAATACGCAGATATCCGTTTTTCGCTCTGTCTTCGACCATCTGAAAATTTCTGATTTAATCCTGAAATACTAAAACTAAAATGCGATAAAAAGAAAAATTCATTTTTTGATCTGTAAAATAGTACCTTTTTTTCAAGAAATAAAATCCATGCTTGCAGCAAATCCTTTTGAGAGTACTTGTTCCCTCTGTTTCGCAAAAAATGTTCTGGATGTGGTGAACCAATAATGCGGTCAACCCTTTCCTTACACGACTAAAAGCCGAAGAATTTTTAATAGGTAGTGCTACGGAAAAAGCGTGCAAAATAAAAGGAAGGGAAACTCAAGCTATGAACTCTTGACAACAAAATAACAACCTTTTCACTGTAAATATGTTCTTCTCCAAAACGACTGTTTAATTGTGAGGCAATATCTGACCTAAAAATAAAATAAACAGTTAAATAAAACAAACCAATTCCTGTACCAGGACCATAGGTGGGCCTTTAAAAGGTCTCGTTCTCCAGGTTACCGCATCATTTGTAAACAAACCCTACGTGGACAGCTCGTTGTCCCGTGTATTTCATTAACAAATTCTTTCAAGAGAATCAAAAAAACATAAAAGCCTATATTATCCTTGTCGAAGGAAAAATTCAACCATTCAAGGCTCACCATTCATGATCAGCTTTTCTCAGCGATAACAGCTGCAACGTATCGGGAAGAGACCAACCATCTAAACCGTCAAGAATTTCCATAAGCAATAATTAACAGATTCATCAATTATCACTCAATCAGCTTGCCATAAAGCATCTGTAAACCAGAAACAGACCATACAAAAAATAACTATCTAAACAAAATGAAAAAAAAAGCGACAACCAATCTCCATATAAACGCGTGAATGAAGATGATTGCCACAATTAAAAAAGAAAAAAACCGTTATTAAGCATTAAACTTAGGCACAGTTTGATAACAAGACAAACTTTGCAATCGGTAGTAAAAAATCATGCAGAAAATACAGTTGGAATTGGAATAATTGAACCCTGTTCCATCACGACCACAAAGTGCACTGTTAACAAGAATGCAACCACCAACAATACTGAATCATCAAATTCAAGTAAGCCGTAAGAAAACATTTTACAAATATAAATTAAAAAAGTATTCGTTGTCTGTAAGTGTGTGTGTATTTGTGTGTGTTTGTTTCCTCAAAAGCTAGACTTTACTAAGCGCCATAGAAAAATTTTTAAAAAATTCGTTTCAATTCATCATCCCACTTCTAGAAGCGCAATTCCTCGAACGGATAGTTTGGCCACCACTGCTGTGTTAGCGTGCCGACGGAGTGACAACAAGACGACGGCAGTAAACGCTGGCAAATATATGCGTAAAGAGTGTGGAACATCCGTTGCAGGTAACAAATTACAGCTTACAAGTGTTCATGCATCATTCATGCATCACCACCAAAGCCCTAGAAATGATTGGCAGTTCTTGTTTGCCTTAGGAATGCTGTACTAAGCTGTAAACATGAGTCTGGAAAATTTGCACCGCATGGTCGCATCCCTGCAGATTTATATACCGTTAGTTCAGTATATAATCTTTGTGCAGCCACCAATTAACCATTGGTCACTTGCTGGAAAAAAAGTAGCATTTCAACCTCAAACTTCTCAAGATAAAACTGTCTGTGGAGATAAAAAAGATTACATATTGCTGCGATGAAACTGTCATCGTCTTTATGCCTACATCTATCCAGCGGTACAGATTTTAAATGTCCAGGATTTGGGTAAACCAGCTGCTGTATGGGGTGACGCTCGGAAACTTCCACCTACGCTTAAGTAAAATTAGTGCAGGTTAGACATGTATAGTTGTTTGGTAAAGCAAGGTTCTTACTCAAACTGGTAAATCCAAGAAAAATTTTAGTATATGAATAAACAGGAACAAAGATTTAGTGAAAAAATGGATCACTATTGTAACTGATAGCCTGTTAAATCTGTCATTTTAATGCAGCCAATGTCTTGTTAGAGACAGAAGTAGTCAACGGTAGGATGTGGATAAAAAACGAAACAGTATTTTCGTTTGTAGCTTTCAGTAGTTGACATTCTGCAAGTTGTTTGAAAGAAAAGAACGATGATCAAAAAATTTGGAAAAAAAAGATCATGGACAAAATTTTATAATTTATAATCATAATTCTTATCTTTAGTCTTATTTATATATTACGAGGTTTTTTTTTACAGTCTATCTGAAAGACTGAAAGGCAGCAGATGAAAGAACAATATTTTAGTTGGCTCTGTGAAAAGTTAGAAACTAAATTACTCGACTTTTTGTTTTAAAACAGCTATAAGTTGTTAGCCACGTGATTTACATACGAATAACAGCAGCCGTTCAAAAACCAAAATCATCGGTTTGATATTTGATTACAGCGTTTAAGCAACGTTCAGTTCCATTACTCAAAGTGTCAGTGGCAAACTGTTGTTGGAGCTGAAGAAACTTTTTATATTTAGTGCTTTCTCCATTTCTTCCGTTCTTTTTTTGATTTTT